GTTCGATGGTAAGAAATCTGGTCTTTACCTAGTGAGAAATGGGGAGTCCCTGAAAGGAGAGAATTAACACACTGTCATAATTCTGCTCCACAAAGATCTTTTACCAGCAGCATGCAGAAGATTTTGAAGAGGCTCTGACACTAGCCAGATGACAAAGAACTCAACGGGAGAGGTGGATTGGGAATAGAAACTGACATGAGACATTCAGCAAGGTAGAACTGACAGACCTAGGTGACCACATGATGGGGGCAGAGAAGGAGAGGCTTCTGACTCAGTGCCTGGGTGGATGGTGCTACTGTGAACCAAGATGGGGACACAGGAGGAAGATTGGGAGAAGAGCCTGAGTCTGGACCTCATGGGTTTGAAGCATCTTGGGAAATCCTTTGGCTTTGTCTAATAGGTAGGAGTCACAGATACCAGCAGCTGAGAAGAACAGTCCAGATTGGACACAAGAGAGATGAGGAGTAGTTGGAGGCATTGGAGTGAATGAGGTTGTGGGGTCTTGTGGGGTGGGAGGAAAACAGGGTTAGAAGTAGAACAAGGATTGAAGGGATTGGTAGAAAGATGAGTCCACGAAGAAAGATGAGTGAGGCCAGGAGGCATTTCCCTTTCCCTGGGTTCCTCTGGCCATGACAGCCAATACCCAGTGTCACAGACCACTACCCAACTCTTGGCATCTCTAGGAAAAGCCTTGGGGCACCACTCCATTAGGCCCAGAGTGAGGGGCAGCTGGGGCTGGGGACAGGGGTAAAGCTTGTCTCCTCCCTCCTTTCTTCCTCTAGTGGCCAGGTAATGTTTAGCTCTTATGTAAAATGATATAAGAGGAAAATGCTTGAGTTTGTTTAGTTTTTCAGATCAGACAAGGACCCAGCCCCTTCTATTGCCAAGAAATCCTTCTGGACTGTGTCCTGGGTTGACGTCAATGAGCTCATTCTTTCATTATCATTAAGAGCAAGGCAAGTCAGGTCCTATCACAATTAATCAAGCAGATTTTACCAAACAAAAGGGAGGAAATAGTCCCAGAATTGTGCTAAGTCACATTATGCCATAGAAGCAGGACTGTCCTGTGGCTTTAAACTGATAATGGTTCTTAGCACCCAAATAATTGATCTGTTGTTCTGGCCTAAAGGCCTAAGTGAATTGGCTTCTCTAGAAGTGTTGGCAGCCTCACTGGTCTATTAGTATGACTGAAAAATCAAAACATCGACTGGAAAAGGAAAAGGCCATTATGCCCGGGCTTGGGAGCCATCATCAATGGATGATGTCATTTCAGAAATAAGCAAGCCAAGGTCATTAGGCCCCTGGGCAGGATCAAACACCCTTCATGGACCAACAAGGCCCTCCTTCATATATACTGAAGTCTGCCTAGGGACAGAGACCCAAGCCAAGACCTGCTTCTTTTTACCTTTTTGCTCAACTTAGATCTAAGGGATGAAGGCCACCTGCAGAGCTTGTGACATTTAATGAGCAGGTCATTAAGGAAGGTACTCAGTCCTGCCAATCTATACCCCTTCGATTGTCTTCTAATGCTCTTGCCCTCTCCTGAGTTCTTGTCTACCTCTTATCACACTCCTCATCCCCAAAGCACCTGCCTCCCCACTGTGCCCTGTCCCCAGCTTCCCTCTTCCTTTCTTATCTAAGTTTCTGGGAAGAGTTAAGGGCCAGTTTAGCTCCTGTGAGCTCCTGGCTCTGCCCCTTACTAACACTAACAATAATAAGGTGCTGGGCACTAGGCTGGGGGCTTTCCCACATCATCTCATTTAATTCCCACAGCTGTGCATAGGAAATGGGTGCTATTGTTAGCCCCAAGGTAAAGAGGTGTAAACTGAGGCTTACAGAGGCTGGGGCACTGGCAGATTCTGTATTTAAATCCTCTGTCATGCCCTGGCCAAAGTCACCCATATTCCCTGCCAATTCTTACATCCCCTTCCCAGTTCTTGCCACCTTTTCTGCAGCAACTGTCACTGCCCACCTCTTTCCTTGGTTCCTGGGAAGTCACTTTCTCCCACGCTTTCCCCACCCTCTCTTCATGGGTGGGTGCCCCAGATTACATCCTTGGCATGTTCTTTTCTTCATGCCAGAAGTTCTAACAAGGGAACCTCTGATTCCAGCTCAACTAGTGGTTATCTTGCCCACCCCCTCTTTTCTTAAGGTCACTCTGGGTGGGCAGCAGAGCTGGGGCTGGAGCCAGGGTCCCATCAGCCAAGCCAGCAGTACCTTTTATTACTCCGAGTTGCTGTTTTCTGTTTTTGCTGAGCTGCAGGAAACTACCCTGCCCAGGAGTAGGGAGAAGGTGTGAGACCCTGATAAGGCGGGGCGGAGGCTATTTTTAGAGGACACTGGCTTTCCACTTAGATGGGAGTAGGACCCAAAGGGCCAGTGACTAAACCAGGGGTTTGTAAGACTATCTCATTAGAGATAATACACCAAAGATACAGGGTTCCTTGTTTTCACTCTGCCTGTCTGTTGTGTGGCTTGAATTAATGGGAATCTGACTATTTGGCATCCTTTCCCCTTAGTTCTTTTATGTGTGAGTCTTTGAGATAGCTTTAAAGAAAACATACTTTTAAGGAATAAAACCAGAAATGAAACTAGGATGAGGGTGCTATTGCAAAGGAAAGTCCTGGGCAGCAGCGGACCACCAAAGGGAGCCTGGCATTGCCAGGTTGCTTGGAGGGTCCAAGACAAGCCTGCACAGAGGGAAGGGCCAGAGGAAAATGGGAAAGGTGGTAGAGACCTGGTGTCCAGGAGGTGACCTTGAGCGGGGCCTCTGAGGTCCTTCATGGACAACAAGATGGGGTTCATGTGGGCAGATAGATGAGATCCTGCAGGGGCTCAGGGCCCAGCATCTAGGTTCAGTCTGGTTCTGTGAATCAGACATGGAAGGACTTGGGCCAGGTGGTCTTCAAGAGTGTTACAGGGAAAGTGAGAGCCAGCACTGCAGTGAGAATCCATAATGGTAGAGGTGGGTGGGGATGGAGGAGAGGAGGAGGAGAAACTGAGCCTAGGAAGAGCTAAACTGGAACCTCTAGTCCTACCCTGTTTATGGGATCTAAAGCTGTATGGGTCACTTGTTTTGCCAAAGCAAAAGTGCCCCTAAGCACCTCAGGAGTGCACTGAGATTACACAGCCCGTGTTATTCTGAGGTCCTTAGTTGGTCCCAGGATAGGTAGGATCCAAGGTGGGGAAGCCATGGAAGTCTCATACTTCTGCCACAGCTCGGGCTGTGCACGGCTGTGCCCTGCGAGCCCCTCTGCACGAAGCAGATAAACAGGTGGTGGGGGGAGCTGCGCGCCGCTGCTCCCACTGCCCGGGTCCCTAGCTCCTTCCCAGGAACCTAACCTCGTCCTACAAATGGGGAAACCGGGGTCCAAAGAAAGAAGAGGGTTTTCCAAAGCCATCCAGAGGGCTGACTACAGCAAGGCGACTCCTGCCTCCAGGCTCTCTGACCCTCTCCACTGGGCCGCATCCCTGAGCGTAGTAGCGCTTTAAACCCCGTGGCCTCACTCAGTTGGGAAACTTTTCTTGCCGGCCTCCTTGTCCCGCCAGCACCTACATCCCCCACTCCCGACCCCTGGCTCTCTCCGGAGGCGGCCGCACCCGGGTACCCAGTGAGGGTGACACCTGTACCAAACTGTGCGCCCGCGGTCACCCTGAGCTGACAGCGGCGAGGCAAAGATCCAAGTGGAGGGCGCCCTGGCCGGGGCCGCGGGGCCGGAGCAGCGGGAACTCGAGCACCCCGGAGCGGAGCGCGGGGCTCCGAACCCCCGACTACGTTCGGGCTCCCCGGCCTGGAGGCAACCCGAGGCGGCAGCTATTTATAGAGG